GGGAACCCCCCCTTTCCCCAATAAAAAAACATTCTTTTAAGGTTCCTTGTGATCAGTCGTCGCGGAGGCGCAGACGAGCCCGTGAATTGGGAGCTCCTGGGGAAGAGGGGCCAGGGCAGGCGGGGGGGGGGGCAGGAGTCACAGCTCCCCGGGGGCCGTGGGGTGCCCCCCAGCTCTCGCAACAATAATGGGGTCAAACTTTGTTAAGCTTCAATTATGACTTTTAAAATAAAAGTTGGAAAAAACACCAGCCTGGCCTGCCCCCGCTGTGAGTTTGTTGGGTTCTGTGTTACCTGCTCGCCTCCGTGGGGCTGGGGACGGCGAGGGGGGGGCCAGTTCTGGCCCAGGCCACCCCCCTGGCGGGGGCAGAGGGGACATCCTGGCTGTGCTGGGACCAGCAGTGGGGCTGCTGGGGGGCTCTGGGACCCCTGGGCCAGCCCGGAGCTGAGCCAGTGGCCACGGGATCCTGTTTCCCAGAAGCTGCTTTGTTCTGTGGCCACAGGCAAAGGCCAGAGCTGGGGTTACTGGGGGGTTACTGGGATTACTGGGACCAGCACCACGAGTGGGGGTCTGCGCACAGGGAGGGGGGGAAAGGGCTGAGCCCCAGCACCCCCTCACCCCACTGGGAATGGTGTGGGGGTCCAGCTGGACCCTCCTTGTGCCCCACGGACACCAGTGATGGGACAGGGGACACGCGGCGGCCTCCGGTGGGTCCCGGCAGCAGCTGGGACCAGCTGGGCCCATCCATTGGGGAAATTTGGGAATCCCCCGGCACACCCATGCCGGGCCGGGAGCCAGGGGCCGAAGATGAAGTGTGGGGCTGCCCCAGAGCGATGGCCGCAGCCTGTCCTGCTGCCCCCCACACCCCTGGGGTCCTATGGCCAGACCCCAGCGGCCAGGGCACAGCGGGGAAGGCGAGAGCCCAGCCAGGACCTGGGGGGGGGTGTCGGATCCTGCGCTGGGGGGACCCGGGGGCACCCTGGAAACACTCTCCAGGAAGGGGCTGAGGGTTCCTGGGTCAGGAGCCGTGGGCAGGAAGGGTGGCCACGAGGCAGAACCGCAGCGGGGCGGGTGCCCGGGACAGTTGCCGGGGCCCAGGCCGCACCGGCCGCGTGGCCGGGATGGGGGGAAATGTGCTGGGCTGATCCCGCCACCCACCCACCAGCCCCTGACACCCACGGGGTTTCGGCTCCGGCCACCACTTCCTTCCTTGGAAAGCTGACGGGGGCTTTGGGCCCCACCAGGCGCTGATTCATGTCCCCCCCCCACCCCGATTCTTGAAAGCACCGACCTGCTGAGGCAGCAGCTCCACTCTGGGAAACCGGACAATCCCTTGGGTGAACCGTGAAGAAGCCCCTCGATGGGCACCACGTTCCGAAACGGCCCTGGCTTCTTCCCGGGTTTGGGGGTGTCTCTGGTGGCTGGATGCTCTCCTGGTGCACCCCGAGATCTGTGGCGTGTGAGGATGTCCTTTCACGCAGCCTGAGGACAGAAGAGCAGTGCTGGCAGGTCTGGAGAAGGGAAGCCATCATTAGGTTTCAGAGTTAACACCTGCCTTGTGCTGGGTGAGGCCCTGCCTCGTGCTCAGGGATTGGCTGCAGCTGCTGGGGAGGGGGGGTCCCTTTCCCAGCTGGAGGTGGGAGCAGCTCCTGGGGTTTGGGGGTGTCTCTGGTGGCTGGATGCTCTCCTGGTGTGTCCTGAGCTCCGTGGCATGTGAGGACGGGGGTCCCTGTCCCCATCCCTGACCCCACGGCCCACAGGGGGACAGTGAAGGGGGGGCTGTAGTGCAGTGAGACCCCCCCCCCCAGTACAGCCTTGTTGCCCTGCCCGGATGGTTGTGGGTCAACTGGGTGCCTCCCGTGCCCCAGCTGGCCCGTGCCGGGCAGGAACTGGTCCAGCTGGCACCGGCCCAGCCCATCATCCTGGAAGCACTTGCGGGAAACCGGCAGGAGCCAAAATTCCCACATCTGCGCCGTGGGGCCGCGGCGGGGCAGGGAGCAGCCGGCCCCACTCCAGGGGCTGCTCTGGCAGCTGCTTCCCCGAAGAGGCCAGTGGGGATGGGCCCTGGTCCGGGGGGGGAAAGGGGGGAGGACACAGATCGTGCCCCCGATGTGGCCGAGCGGTGGACACGGCACACGGGGACACCGAGCACGGCCCAGCCCCACGGCACCCAGTGGGGCAGGATCTGGCCCCGGGGGGCTGAGCTGTGTCCTCGCACAGGGGTCTCACCTTGGCCACCTCCAGCTGGTCCCACCGCTGTGAGGGTGACGCCGCCGATGCCCGCCCTGACACCGGGGTGAGGGGCTCGGGCAGCTGGTGGGGGCGATGCCCACGTGGGCTGGGGTTGGTGACGATCCTGGAGGGACACCGGCTGTCAAAAGCCACCACCCGGCCACCCGCGAGTGACCCGGTGGCCAGAGCTCTGCCAGCGGGTTAATGAGTCACCAAGTCACCACCAGCACCGTCCCAGTGCCTGGCAACCTGCCCCAGTGCCAGGGCTCCGCTGGGTGCCCGCCACGGGCACGGAGGGGCACCGGAGCCCCGGGGAAAGCCCCACAGGCAGCGAGGTGTGGGCAGCGGCCGAGAGCACCGGGCTCCCGGGATTTGCATGTTGGTGATTAAGACAATGAGGCAATCGACACTGTTGCTCCATCGGTGTGAATCCCCGGGGCCCGCTATAAATGCCCTAATCGATGAGGCCGCCCCAGAGCAGGGGCAGGAGGGAGCGGTGCCGGCCGGGGCCACGCTCGCAGAGAGAGAGAGAGAGGAGGAGACACCAACCGAGCTGGGCATCATGTGCTCCCTCACCCGTGAGTACCCGCGGCTCCCACTCCTCCCACTGCACCCATTGCCCCACAGCTCCCACAGCTCCCACTGATCGCACTGATCCCACAGCTCCCACTGCACCCATTGTCCCACTGATCCCACTGCTCCCACTGATCCCACTGATCCCACTCCTCCCACTGCACCCATTGCCCCACAGCTCCCACTGATCCCACTCCTCCCACAGCTCCCACTGATCCCACTCCTCCCACTGCACCCATTGCCCCACTGATCCCACTGCTCCCACAGCTCCCACTGCTCCCACTGATCGCACTGATCCCACAGCTCCCACTGATCCCACTCCTCCCACTGCACCACATCAACCTGTCTTTTGAGCACCTCCAGGGATGGTGCCTCAACCACCTCCCTGGGCAGCCCATTCCAACGTCTGGTAACCCTTTCAGTGAAAAAATTTTTCCTAATATCCAGCCTGAAACTCCCCTGGTGTAACTTGAGGCCATTTCCTCTCGTCCTGTCACCTGTGATTTGAGAGAAGAGACCGACCCCCATCTCTCTACAACCTCCTTTGAGGTAGTTGTAGAGAGCAATAAGGTCTCCCCTCAGCCTCCTCTTCTCCAGGCTGAACACCCCCAGCTCCCTC